GTACTTGCCGCGTCTTCTAATGAGTGAATCATGATATCGTCTGCGGAAGGAAGGTCCGGAAACCAAAGCCGGGCAGATTCCATTAGCGAATCGTTCACTCTTCTTGTAGTAAATGGGGTGTTTAGTTGGGGTCAAATTGTAGACTCACATGACCGAGTGCCTTAAAACTGACAATCTAATGATATGATAATAGCATGTGGGTTCAGGCACAATACTTTTAACGTTTTTCAATTATTGAGATTTTAGAAACTATCTTAGAGCGCTGCCAATGTTTATGCAACAGAGTTGAGGACATATGCAGCAATACGGTGCGCAGAATTTGGGACTGATTGCCACGAGGTTTTCTGAAGACTACATAAATACATCAATATTATTTCAGATGTCAGACCTCAACGGTTGCTCCTGGATACCGAAACAGTTGTAATGCGTACCAATACAAGTTAGCTTACCAAAGAGAAAAAAACGCGACAAAGTAGTCAAATGGGGTTTATGAGGCAGAGAAATGAATGCTAATTTTTGATTTGAGACGATGAATAGAGAAAATGAGCAAACAGATGGCGACGTGTAATAAAGGGCACTCCTACTCTTACTTGAGATGCACCCAAAAGAGCGTCACTAAGCCGAAAAACGAACCTAACGTACACACAATTAGTAATCCTCGACACAATATTAGCCCAAAAGGGCACCATATTTGACTACTGAATGCAGCACATTTTGTGGATTTAATGGCTTAACACTGAAAGCTCTACTAAAAGTATCGCGCAAATCGAAGTAAAGGAGCGCATTACGGTACAATTTCTTTGCATTAATGAGTGGAGAACCAAAACATGGTGGGATTGACATTAGTTAACGAGTGACTTCATGTTCCACTTACCACCAATTTTTGCATTGAAGGCGACACCAACGATACAAACTGAATTGTTTCCTACTGCAGCAACCTGACCTGCGCATCTCGTTCCATGTCTAAAATATATAATAACATTGGCTTGCTCACAGAGATGGTTTGAACTAACCTTGGAACGGCTCAGGATATCTCTAACTTGAGTAAATTAACAAAAATAGAATCAACATCACATTCTGCCTGCATATTACAATTAAAACAGAAGCAGTTAGTTAAACTATGGAAGAGATTGCAGTATGACCAAAATGTTGACTATCAAGAGGTTCGTTTACATGAACCTGAAACCTGGGTGACCGAATCGCGAGGTGTCATGGAAACAAATTTAAAAGCTGATGGTACATGAAAGCCTAATGAAATTAGATTTGTGACCGGCTGCAGGAAAGGGAGTGATGTTGGTACGTAAATCTGGGAGCTAATGATTTCGGGGCCTTTACGCTAGCAGACCTCCACATTGACTAAGCAGACGTTCAAATAAAATATCTGGTTAAGTAGTTTAAAACCCAATTCTTATGGTTATTTACTATGACGGCCATCTGCAATTTACTAAAAAAACATTTGACTACAGGAAGATCGCTCAACTAACTGAGTCTGCCAAATAGCCAATGAAGGTGGCAGTTTCCTCCAGAATGTCTTTAGGATGTAGTGTCATCTCAATTCGAACAATTTTCAACAAACACAATCGAAAAGCTAATACTTTATTTCTTGTTCACAATTTTAAACTCGCCTAGACTTCAATGGCATCAGTAGAATAGTGCGTAACAAATGATTGGCGAAACAGTGGAAAATATTTGGGTTTAGACAAGCAGAAATGTCTTTAAATTTCAAGAGAGGGCAATTTTGGAACCACCAGTTACTTTTAGTAATAACAACTGACGTCAGCAGTTTTATTCTATAGAAAAGTGCTAAACACTGAAAAGGAAATTCAATGAGCAACCGTATAACTTCAGACAGCAAAACCGTATGTTTTCATTTCATCTTTTTTTGTGATTAGGCTAGGGATCAATGTAGGTATGCCTACCAGATAGCCCAGTAACCTAAGCAGCATGAAATATTTGCTCTTGAGCACCTAAATATCCCGAATAAGTTAGCATGACAGGTGATGCTTGCGTTAAACAGGATTAAAGAATGCCAATTTAACGACTTCTCGTTTAAGGAACAGGCCTTTAAAGGTGAGATACACTGTTGTTGCCACTATCATCCAGTGGATGTGCTTGCTGTTTATGTGCTCGAGTAAACAAATTGTTGTTAAGCAAACAATTGACCAACCGTGAATAGCTAAAGTCCCTGAGTAAATGAAACGCAAAATACCTACCACGAAGTGCAACATCGTGCATAACATTAATGGACTTCTATGAGACGCCCAAACGAACCAATTTACAGGTAAGGAGATATCTTGAACTGAGATGTTCGTAAAACTGGATAGAAACCCAAGAAAATCAATTCAAACTGTACCTGCTTGTTCAAACCATTAGTCTGGGCACGGTAGATACCCGTTAATGATTTACAGAACAACTGTTCCATGAGATGTTTGGAGTCGGTATATGATAATCGAAAAAAAGTGATTCTGGAAGGTTTGTGAGATAAGCTACTACAAACACAATTATTGCTACCTTAAGAGCAAATCACAAGAAGCCAATAAATGAGGGATCTGGAAATACTTAGACGACAATAATCACAATCGTTCGAGCGAACTCGGGTTTCATATCTTCAAAATACGTGGAAGATAGGCTAATCAAAGGAAGCCATTTGTTGCCTTGGGAACTGAAACGGGGATGCGATGAAACGCAAATGTATCATGATTATTCACATGAGCAAGTTGACCTAGGTCAGGAGCCAGTGAGGTGCAGTGGCGCACACATGATTCAACCCTCATTTACACGTTAAATTGCTCAAGCAATATTTTCGATTAATTAGGGAGGGCATTGCTTGAATTTATAAAACGGTTAGGAAAGAAGGAGATATGATACTTCAATAAGTATGTAGAATAAGCATTGAGACATAAAAAGTCAAGTTTTTCTTATTAAAAATATTTTTTAAGAGTAGATGGAAGTGATCAATAAATAAACCGAACCCTAACAAACAATCTATGGGTAAACTATATTTTTAGCCACTTTTGAATGCGAGAAAAGCCAATAATATATTGAGAATGAGGACAAAGGGAATTTTGCTCATTGAGATATTTGGCCGGTGGTTATGATACCGTCATTTGCACAAACGCAATAAAGGCTTTAACCTCACAATGGCAATATCGAATGTGAGGTCCTGGGTCGGTTCTGTAGCAGCGCAGGTTTGGCGTGGACTATTACCGGAAATTTTATTACCGTCTAAGGTTGCTACTTGAAGCCCAACTTTGGATGAATAATTGGCGAAACAAGTTAGCGTCGCCTCAAAGCAGACGTCCGCGTGGTGATACAATAGTCGGCTTCACGAATCCCCGAATTATGCTGGTCAGCAACCAGACGTCACTAGGGTGTTGGCGAATTAGCGTTCTTGGGTCATTAACATTCCATCATGGCAATCAGAAGAATACCATGAACAAAAATGCCATTTTCAACGCAATTTGTAAATTATATTAAGTAATGACCAAAAACAATGCACAAAGCTAAATTTTCTACTCACTTATTGTCAGGATTTGTAGTATTTGGCATCGGATCCCGGTCACCATTGTTAACATCCCAACTAGCTTGTTCAGCCTAGAAATAGCGATACAAATGTCAGATTTCCAATGGAGCTCAGAATTACACGATAAGGGGACAACTGAAAATAACCCACTCACAACAGTCATGTAGTAAGGCACTGCTTATTTATCAAGACATTTTTAGTCAATAATGCGAAGTCCCAAGCAATTTTAGTAGGTTGAATGAACCATGAATAAATAATGGAATCAACATAGGTTGGGGATCATGGTTGGTGAGCAGTTCTCAGTTTCCAAGGAGACCAATCAAATGAAAAGTCATGAAAACAAATTGAACTGTAGGAACTCATGAAACTTCGAAAAGAACTTACATTTATTAAGGTCTATTTACAGATGTTTTTCAATAAACCAAGATAATTCATAAAAACAACTTGAATAGATTAATTATTTAAGAAAGTACACATATAGGTATTTGTGTCGATTCAGTGAAAAAATCATAAATGCCACAAATTCTACCAAGCTGAAAAACTAATTACATAATTTGCTGAAAGGTCGGGATGGGAATGATCCAGGCCATCATCCATTATGGTTACAACAACGCCTTTGCCCGAGTACCCCAGTTGCCATGCCTCTTGCACATTCAAGTCAACTTCCGAATGATCCTTCTTAGATGCCCGGATCTAAAATAGATAAAATCCGCCCACACATCGCCGATGAGCAAAGTTAGTTCAAGTGTACTTCTGGAAATCAAATAGCAGGGACCTTAGTGAGGTAATCATTTGATATTGAAATCGAACCCCAGGAAGGCCTCGCAACAACAGGTAAATCAATAGACATATTTAAGCAGGATCCATTTGTAACACTAGATATTCAGTAAGGGGTGAACAAGATTCAGTGGGCCGCTGGTCAATAATGTTGCGTTCCTGCACACACATTTAGTTAAGAGGACAAAATTGTAGATTATAATTAGATTAACGGGCTTACCAAGTACCACATATCCGGATATTTGAGGTCGTTCCAGAATAAAATGTCCCGCTTTGTTCGAATTAGCTGCCTCTGCTGTTCAATATGTATTACCTCCGCACTTCTTCGAATACGGGATAAGTGCTTGGAAACGTTTTTGAAGGACTTTTCCGGCAGTTCGGCTAGAAAGGCATACTCAAAACCGTGAAGCTAGAGGATATACAAAGGTTGTTACACAATACCTTCCGAATGAACCTAAAGCCCATTGATTCGATTACGCTCTTTGCATTTTCAGTTACAGCAAGATCGATCACAAATTCATTCACAAGCGGCAAATCTTCAGCAAAACACTTAAGAAGACGCAAGATCGTGAGAATAAACGCCCAACATGTCCTCATTTCAAAATCAACAGTCTGAAATAAAAACACATGTAGCAATTGCACCTCAAACTTAGTTATTGGAATGTGCATTAAACAAATCATCAAATTAAGTCAATAGGTTACGAAAAATGCTTTTATACGACTTACTACACCATTTCAACCAACCAAAAAGCTTTAGAACGACTTTCCAATGAACGCATTCCTAGTTGAGTGCTCACATAGACCAAAAGATTAGTGATAAAATTTTGTGAATCAAATTGCGCAGATTAAATCGTGGATTAGATCTCTATTAAAATGTAAGCAGCTTCGCTTAACCGCAGGTGGGTATCGAATACATTAATCTACAAACTTGTGACATTCCGGACGTTACTGGTTTTCAATTCTGGATCGTACAAATTAAAGTGCAATATAATATGTAAATTGAAAACAAACTAGTTGTGCTTACAGAGCATTCCCTAACCATTGCAAAAAAGGAAAATTTACATCTAATGCAAAAATATATCGTAAGTAGGCAACAGTAGGATGGCAAATTGTTCTACGATATCGTAAGAATATTTTAGGCCAAAATATTTCTGAACACTAAGGTAGCGTAAATGACATTCAGCCAATCCCGGCAACTATTTGGAATAATGCCAGGCGAATACTATCAGTATATTAATAGCTACCTACGGAAACCCCTCTCGCAAGCCCGCATCAGACAAAGCAATGACAGTAAAGTATGGTTTCAAAACGCGCACGTGCACTTATAAAGGTCGCACAAGAATACAAACATAAAATAATTAAGCTTTCACTAATTGCCATACAAAAATACTGCGTGAATCATAAAGACACTATTTATGTTAGTATTAAAGCTACTAACTTAAAAATTGAATGTAATTTATATTTAAGCTATGCTGAATTGAACAAGGCTTCACCTTTATGCGAATTCCAAAGTGATTTACGTTTGGAAAGGTGTATATAAATGGCCAAATTTTGCAACTTTTCATAATGTATAAAAGCGGTTTAATTTCCAAAACGTGTATATCATCATGTCTTTGAGAGCAGATTGGCTTCTAGCCTTGATAAAACTGTCACTAAATACGTTGACATATTACAGGTATAAAAATTAGTCTGAAGTCTGGCTATGCAAAAAAGAGGCAGCCTTGCAAACCGTTTAATGATCAATCGCAAAAACGTTTGCCTATGAGTAATTTTAGAGTATGTCTTGATTTATTGGTTGTTCATCCCCATTCTCATAACTTAACTATACAAACTCCCGTAATGTGCAGCTTAAAGATGCTTTCAAATCAGCGTCCTCGTCATTCTGCACACATTCTTCATAATACATCAAAATCATTGCTTAAAAAATTCTAGCCATAATCTGTTATCCAAGAATGCTTGGGACCAAGACGAATGCACAAACTTCAATGCTACGTTTCAAGTATGTAAGACGTCACATAACAGTTTTAATCGTCCCTGTGGCTTTCTGCATTTCCTTAGGTAACCTACTGGATTTTCAAGAAATGATTTACAAATACTGATCGAATAATTAGCAGGTAATTAATTTTTGCTCAAATTAGGATGCATATTATGCGCAGAAATTTCAAAAATTTGTCTAAACGTCGAGTGATTTTGACTTAAGATGACTTTGACTTTTTGCACACTATTTTTGAAATAGTGCTGTCTAAGATATTTTAAAGTTTCTTTTCCGAAATGATGTTGTTAAATAAATATCAACGTTTACAACAAGTTGAAAGGCAAAACATTATATATAATGAAATCCTAAGTGGTCTTTCAAAAGCCAAGTAGTCATGATTGACTATCAGACAATCAATGCAAATAAGAAATGTCACAACCTCTTATTTCTTATACTTACAAATGCTTTGTGACAGCACAAAAAGTGTTTAGGCATAGACAGTACTTGCACATCAATTTTCGTCGAAGTTGCGGTAAGTGTGGAGAGCACGGACCGAAGCATACTGAGAGAATAGAGAACGTTTCCACAACAAAAGTCAAAAATATGCAATAAGGTAAGCGATTGAAAAAATTAAAATTAAGGTGAGTTCTAACTGAACAGATCTCAGTGTATCAGAAGGCGTATCTATCATAGCATAATTCATATTACGATAATTTTTCCTCGTATTTCAGCAAGCGATTTATTAAATATCTTATGTCATGGAACCCAGATATTAAACTAATTAAAACTTACCATATGTCTTATTATATGTTATTTCGGTTATTTAACATTTCAATTTAAAATGAATTGGCAGTAGTGCTTCAAGTCCGCCTCTATCCTTTTAATTAAAATATTTTTTCAGCTAAATATTTTCTGAAAAGTTTAAATGTACAGTATTTTTAGCTTATTCGCATATAGCATTACCAATTAATCGCTCAAGTTCTTAGATAAGCGAATTATATATATAAATGCAGCCTTACACTAAATAATAAGTATGTGATATGAATTTATCTTTAATGATGACGGTAAGCTTGAACTTACTTTAATTAGCTAGGTACACATTAATTTAATATTTAACAAATCCTAATTTTTTAAAATATTTTTTTGCATAATATCCTTTTCTGTGTTTATCTGGGCTTCTTAAAGGTCGAGACTAATTATCAAGGTTGCCGTCTTGTTTCACCGCTGTTGATGGTAGGAAGTGGTTGTAACTTCGGATTGTTGTACAAAGAACATTGCTGCACAATCTGCTTAATTTCCATTAAAGCACTTTTTGCGTGTGCCACATTGGTTAACACGCTTAGTCACTAATTCTTTGCATAGAAATCAATTTAAGTTCAATGCAATACCTAGACAGCATCCGTTTCAACTCAGAAGTGCTGACGGTTTCAGCTTTTCATTAATATCGAAGTTATCCAGTTAAGAACTTGCGATACTGTTTTTACTGCCTATGTGTCACTAGTGCTTTTCCCTAACTTTGAAAAACTTGATTTCAACTGCGCTATGAACTTTTGGTTGTATCCGTTTCCGGATTTCCTTTATTTAATTTTGGTTTCTATCAGAGCAGTTCTCTCAGGCGCAATCACAACGTTTTGACGCGATTGAGTTTTATTAAAACAGTTAGAGCTTAAGCTTTATATTAATTTAATACTATCTATATCTGCCAACTATTATTCACTGGCAAATATCATGTCGTTGCCAAATTCCAGGCTTTAAGGATATTATCGTTTTCTTCTAAATTATAGCTGTAGAACACTGTGGTAGTATAAAGACTTCGTTATTTTACAAGAATGGCCTGGTTTTGTGTAACGCTTGGAAATATTCCATTCTCCGTTTTGTGGAAAAAATTCATGTTGTATCTGTGCTATGCTTTAGCAGGCATTCTACTACTTAATGCACTTTCTAACATCTTTTTAATGTCCTGTCCGTACAAGCGCAGTAAATGGCAGTTACCAGTCAGTTTTTTCTGGTTTTTGAGCATTTACTATGAACTCTTAAATTTGACCTCAACGAAGCCCATTCACTCATTTTATCATTTTTTAGTCGCCAAAAGCCACATTTTATCCAGACAGTTTTCTGTCGCCTCAGGCTCAAAATCTCTTCCTCGCTTGTAATTGTGACTTTCCGCTCTCCCCCGAAAATAAAAACTGTCCTTGTGTCACATCCGATGGATTTCTAGTTATGGATGCAGTGGGTTGTCACCTGTGTGATTACGTCGCAAAGGGTGATTACTTTTCAGCAGTTCGATCTATCTCACATACCATGCATCTCTGCTCCCATAATTTCAATGTTGAAGCTTTTAAAGTCAATGAGCACAGTTTAAACTGGCTGACTATGCCTTCGCATTTCGCAAATTTACGGAATCTTGCATTGAAACAAAACTCAGTCGACCGCCTCCTTTCCATGCTGCAACTAATATCTATGTTGGATTTCTCGCTTTCCCGCCTTCTTGTGGACGAACGGGGCCGATCCCCAAATCATTTTACTGCTGTCATAGAAGATCCTCGCTTGGCCACGTTCCTCACTCCACCTACGCTTTCAGTTCTTAAACTTTTATTTGGACCTCCAACGTCTCTAAATCTTCGGAACCTCTTTTGGCATGGATTTGTATCCCCTAGTGACTGTGAGAACGTGTTTCCAAAATGCATTCCTTATTTTCTATTTGCTTTGGTGATAGCTATAGACGAACAGCTGGTCAATTCAATTGATAGGCCGGTAAATTTTCAGTCAAGGCTTTCCGAATGTTACGAAATATTTTCAAGGGAGCTGGTTGTGAGTGAGTCCCCCACGCCCATGCCCACAGAACCAGAGCACACAAACCTTGGTTTTTTGAGTCCATTCAATGAGCTATTTTCTGCCCGTCGGTACTTTGATTCACTGTGTCTCGGAGTGCTCTGTATATCCTCTATTGTTCGGAACGAATTTTGCCGAGCGATCGATTGGACTGAAGGTTTAATCTCGGCAGAAAATAGATTTTTTCTCACACTGGATGGTATACTTAAGATGCAATTACACAAATCTTGCCAACGGATGATTAGTGTTGCTGAATGGGAAAGATTCACCGAATTTATTGGCCCTACTAACTTGTTGCTGCTATCTGGTGTGTTTTGTGCTGAAAACGGTCCACGTCTAAGAGAGCGACTATCACACGGTGAACTCTTTCAAACAATGAAATCAGATTATGTCTTCTGTAGAGGCATTGCTCGACGTGTGCGATTTTGCATTTTTCTACTTACAGACTACATGCACAAGGGGCACATCGTTCCCAGAATTAACGAACTTGATGTGAGGCCAGATGGATTGAATCCCCTGACCAGTTTTGTGGTCGCTTCTTGTGGACTCTGGTCATCATGGGCATCACTTTATCGAGCGGTCTCAGAATTAAATCCTACAAGAAGAGTGAACGATTCGCTAATAGAATCTGCCCGGCTTTGGTTTCCGGACCTTCCTTCCGCAGACGATATCATGATTCACTCATTAGAAGACGCGGCAAGTACTGATGTTAACCATTGTATGCTGCTTACGGTGTCTACCATAGTATGGAGGCGCTAACGCATGGTTACTTGGTCAGAGTGCTGGGCTT